ACCACGGCGTGACGACCAGCAATGCTGACACGAGCAGTGCACATTCCGATTACTGGTACAGTACCGCCATCGGCAACCGTATTGCCTACGTCGTAGATGGCGTCCTAATCTTTTTGTAAGTGCCAGCGTAGAGAAACGCTCATAATAGACAGGTGCGCACCTGTGTCAATGAGGGCGGTCGCAGGAACATGGTCGACTTGTACTTCAAGCAGGCTATGGTGCATGGGAAGCGTCAGTAGAGGATTTTCGCCCGTCATTGGTATTGCAGCTACACCTCTATCAGCTGCAATATCTAGTTTTTCTGCTGCGGTCGTCCAGAGAAGGTCGGCAAGGAAAAGCGCCGAGGTGGCGGAGAGCGGGATTGGCGACGTAGCGGCAACGGGGAGCGAGAGCTGCGGCGACCGGACGAAGGGGCGTCAGGGTAGCGGCGACCAGGCGAAGGGGTGTCAGTGGAAGGCTCGTAGGATGACGATGAATAGAAATTGAAGGGTGCGGTGACTGAACGTCGAGGGGTCATCGGACGCATGAGCGCCGAGGTAGAGAAAGTCTGACGTGGTTGGCTTGACCAACGGCGGTGGCAATAGCGAGAAACGTGCCCAGGCAGGTGGCAGGAAAATCAAATAGGCCGGTCGTCAGGGGTTCGCCATTCCGAAGGGTTACGGAAGGGCATTGTTGGAGGTGAACGGCGAGCGTGTCCTCGGGAGTAGGACGGGACTGCAGGGTGAGTCAAGGGACATGCTGATGGAAGTCAGGGGTTCGCAAACTCCTGCCTCACCACAGCTTGTATTAACGCCACTGACGGCTGTTGTTGGTCAGAGGCGAGCGTTGCGAAAACGGGTGGCTGAAGAGGAGCCGGACAGGCGGCTTCGTTTTCCTGACGAACAATGCGTGTGACGTTGTCATACGTGGGGGACTGGCGGGCGGCTTCACACGATGAGGTCACGGCCGCGTTGGGCAGCCGGGTGAATCGCTGAGTAATACGGCGGCTCTTGGCTTCTTCAAACCCCCGGCACTCTTTAATGACGGCGTCGACGGTAAAAGATTAAATGCGTCGTCTGCTATGCCTTTCAGCACATGGGCCACTTTCTCCGACTCACTCATGTGCTCGTCAATCTGGCGGCATAGGGCGATGACGTCGTGAATGTACGCGACGTATGACTCCGTCGACGTCTTTGCACGAGTCACCAGTGGATACCGCGCTGCGATCTGCCGCCCGACGGTGTCGCCAAAAAGGTCGTGAATCTTCTCTTTAAAGGAGTCCCGTCTCGAATCACACTCGTGGTGGGCCATCGAGGTAAAAAAGCACATTGGCAAGCACAAGAGTCGGGTCCCACCTATAGCTTGCGCTGACCCGTTCGTACCGTTTGATCTATTTGTCGACGTCAACGCCATCCTGACCGGAAAATACACCGGGTTCACGAGCAGGAGGTAGAACGACGTATGTAGAAGTCATGGTAGGGGCAGGTGGCGAAGACGATGGTTGTTCAACCTGTGACATGATTGGACTAATGATGATGCGGCCGTTGCGGAGCTTCGTGATGAAGACGGGGAAGTACCCAGCACCTCCGCCACAAATATGTTACGTGAAAATGACACGTGGTGTGTCTATTTAAAATCTATATTCCAAATGACGCGTATGGCGTCGACTAAGATGGAAGCAGCACGCAAAACCGACAGACCACTTCCTCGTTGTCGTCTTCTGAACACTGATACGTCAGCTACGTAGCAATATAAACATACTACAAAGAACACTATGCAAGGGTGATCAAAATTCGCGCATAACTCTTTTTAAAAACACAAGAATGTTAGAGTCAATGCTCTGATAATTATTAGGCTAGGAGGGCAATGTCTACTACTAAGGGAGTGTAGAAAATAGTTTGTGTGACAACAAGGAACGAGGCATCTGTCCGCACTGCGGGTCTATGAATCCGCGTGTTGTATACTTATGCTTGACAAATCTTTATTACCTGTTTCAAATTGTTTCTTTGAAAAGAAGTAGTTATAATTGAATTGGAAGTCGTACATATGTCTCACATAGCGGTGGAACAGAGAACCTGCAGACATATTGCGTAGGACATTTGGAGTATAACGTAGCGATCGTTTTTGCAATGAACTAATTGTTTTATCTTGCCCAAGGTTGTGGTGCCCCAGATCTTGGGGTGCAGGACCGTCTGAAGTAGGCGGCATTCCCGTCCGAAGCATGCGAAAGGAGATTGCCTGTTGCCTAGAAATGATTAGAGGCCAAATTAGAGGGAATTGAAATAGGCTTCAACCTCTCTTGCGTGAAACAACGAAAACTCATTGAACAGGCGCTACCAGCATTGATGTCCTCAGTTGATATAGTGGTAATGGCCAACAACAAGGAAGATTTGCAGAGATTGATGGACATCTGCGGTAATGAGGCAGATAGGTTAGGTTTCAGATTCAGCAAAGAAAAATCAGCAGTCATGATTTTTTATGATAATGAAGGTTGTGAGCTTAGTATACAGGAAGTAACGCTAGAGATAACAGATAAATACAAATATTGGGGCGTATGGATAAGCAATTAGATTGAGTACGTAAAGGAACACAGAAATGCAGGAGTGATGAAAAATAGGGCACTGTGGAAATACTATAGGTATGATGTTGTGAGAGGAATTTGGAAGGGGATCATGGTTCTTGGTTCAGCAATGCGGTCTTGTGCATGAGATCACAAGTTCAAGCAAGATTAGAAATTAAGCAACATGGACTAGATAGGCTTGCCTTAGGAGCTCACGGGAATACACCAAATCAGGGAGTACAAGGTGATATGGGATGGAAATCATTTGAGGGCAGGGAAGCTAGCAGCAAGATAAAATTTGAGAAGCGATTGACAGAAAAGAAGGAGGAGCGTTGGGCTAGGAAGGTATTCAGCTACTTGTACATGAAGAATGTCGATACAAAATGGAGGAAGCAAACCAGTAAAGTGACTGGTAAATACTTAGAAAACAGCAGGCAGCCAAACCAAAATGAATCATCGGTTAAGAAGAAGGTGAAGGAAGCTGAGACCTATATGTGGAGAATCGGCATGATTAAGAAGTCTGCACTAGAGATCTATCGAACTTTTAAGCAAGAATTTTCCAAGGAAAGGGTCTATGATAATACTCGGGGTAGTTCTCTACTGTTTGAGGCCAGGACGGGTGTATTGAGAACCAAGACATATCGGTCCAAACACGAAGGGGTAGACACGGTATGCAGTGCGTGTGGAGAGGAAGAGGAAACTGTCAAACACTTAAAATGTTCCGTAGACGGCTTCATCCTATAGTTCAGGGTGATAGCGCAGCGTTTTTCAAAGCACTTGCGCTTAGGGACAGGGAGGGCAAAATAGACTTTAAGCGGGTAGAATAACAAGATGGATGTTATCTGATTGGTGACTAAAGTCAAGGCACCATTGAAAATAAAACCCTTCACTGCAAAGTACGAGTCCTCAACCTCACTATTTAAAGGAAAACAACTAAATCTAGTTTTCGGTTCACTAAGTATTACGGATCGGTGGCGCTAGCCATCGCCCGATCCATATCAATCCATCCATCCATCCATGTGCGTATCTTTTGGCGCCATTTCCATTACGAAATTGTTGCCGATGTCATGGTAGACACCGGCACAAAATCTTTCCTAGTTAACTTGTGCTCTGTGACTTCTTTCATGCTTCCAGCTTGTGGAATTGCCATAAAACTGTGCAAATAATGTTCTAATATGCTCAATGTGCATGTTACGTGGCTTGGACGGGGTATCGTGAGCTCTCTCATTGAGCTAGATAGCCGAAACGAAAAAGAAACAATGGAACGTATATGTCTGCCGTCCAAGAAATTGTTAAAGGAAAACTCGGCCAGTTTTTCAGCGTGAACTGATTTCAGTAAAGTTTATATTTGGGATTTTATTCAGGTGTGCCTAAATCTACAATCTCAAGTCATGTAGTTTTTCTAAAAATCAGTTTAGTACTCGTTTAGCCACTTTATTTTTTAAGTTGCCTTCTGGTGCAGATCACCTCGTGATCATGAAGTTGTATGAAACAGGGCTACCTACACGAGAACAAACAAAACTGCGTCCAAATGAATCGCCTCTGTTGAAACTTTCCTTACATTGAGGAACGACATCCTTTCGCCAACACCATCTCTACGTTATAATGGCCTAAGTTGCGACGTCAACGTAGGCGTTCTACGAAGAATATTCCTGTTTCAGTTTTCAGAGATAGTTTGTTGGCTATGTAAAACAACTTGAAAATTTCTGAGCATACTAAACTAACTTTTTCAGACCCTCCGATACCAATTGAAACGGCGATCTCCCACAATAGGTTTTTTTTTGTTAGGGTTTAACGTCATAAAACCACCATATGAATATGAGAGACACTGTAGTGAAGGGCTCAGGAAATTTCGACCACCGGTGGTTATTCACGTCCACTTAAATCTAAGCTTATGGCCCCCAAGATTTTTCGTCTCCATCGAAAAGGCAGCCCCCAGGGCCGCGATTCCATCCAGCGACCTGCGGGTCGGCACTGGCGTGATAAGGTTCAAAAGACGCCGGAGTTTTGTCATAGGGCTTTGGGTTATAGTTGAGCACCTTGGGTTATTCCAGGTGCATCTTCATGCATGTAGTGTTTTCGCACTAACCTCATGTAAATGCGGCCGCCGTAGGTGACCGGCCCCATCCTCTAACTTGGTAGCGCAACTACTCAGCGCCTAACTGTTAGGCTGCTTAATCAAACTTAACATGCGACCACTCTTTTCAACACATATAATGATGAAGGCGTTTGTCACTTCTATGCGTGTGAAGGAACGGCAAGCATTATATTTGCAAATTGTCATACTAACCCTAAAGCTGATGATGACAGAACACATACAAGAAACCTTTTTTATGGGTAACAAACAACATATGTAAGCAGTCAACAAATTTAAAAGGTTGCTATGGCCTCGGCTTAACATATAGAATTTGCCAGCGAAGGAGAAGTGGTAACAGGGGCCATCAAATTACATGTCACGCAGTTTCACGCTCAAGCAGCTGTTGCCTCGCCTGCCGTCCCGTTGCCAGCTACTTGTGGCGGTTGACAACTCGGAGGCCATGTTGGAATTTGCCCGAGAGAATCGTGCTCACCCGAGAATCGAGTACAGAGCCCTGGACCTGGCATCTGTAGACGATACCTCTGACTTCGTACGTGAATATGGACGCTTCCAGAGGGTTTACTCATTCTTGGCAATTCACTGGACAGCTGATCAGCGCCAAGCCATGCAGAACATCGAGACGCTGATGGCCCCGGGCGCAGAGTGCTTCGTGGTTTTCTCGGACAACATAGTGCTGTTCGACATCTTCAAGGCCATGGTGGCTTCGCCGCGGTGGACTAAGTTTGCCGAAGTGAGTGCTTCAGAAAGTCCGTCGCGGCAAGCAAATAAACCTTGGTTGTTTATGTGCCTTCAGGTTAAATACTCATGGCGTGTCTTGTTTTACGACGACACATTTCTGACAACCAGCATAGAAATATTTACAGGTACAGAACCAATTTCTTATTGCAATGCTGGGGATTAGCTAAGCCGTCGTTTAATTTTCATTCAATATGATCTTCAGTTTATTGCTAGTATAAGCTATTGTATCGCCACGCTAGATTTGGCCAGCTGGCCGCACCGAAAAACAAGCGAGCCACGTGGCTCGGGTGGTGCGAGCCACGAGGAATTTCAGGGCGGCTGGGCATCTTCTCTCCTTCTTTATACTGGTCCTTTTTGATTCGACTCCCAGATTATGCCGCTGTATTCATCGCAGAGTTATTGGCTATTGTTCTTGCCTTACGCAAATTGCCCTCAAACAAATTATTAACAGTTATCATTCCAGATTTGTTATCAGTATGTAATGCACTTTCTGCGGCAGCGAATGCAAAGCTGATGAATACGTTTCGGTATTTAGTGCCGAAAAACGTAAAAAAATGCATTTGCTATGGGTACCGGGCCACCACAGATTATAGTTGAACGAATTGGCGGACTCTTTAAAATCAATATCCCTGAGTGGGCCCACCATCCCAGTTTTGCCAGATAAAGCATATGTGACAGCACTAAGGCTCCTAAATGCTTGTCTGCAATGGGGAATAGGTAATTTGGATATATTTAAAGATTACGAGCATTTGAGATATTGGTGGAATAAACAGTGGTGTGTATCTCAACACTTAGAGGTCACTTATACCAGATTGCGCTGTGCAGTTCCACAACTAAATTATTACCTCAACAAAGCTCGCCTCAAGGCGTTACCACTGTGCATTTTTGCAACAAAATTTAAACAATTAAACATTTATTTTTATTCGGTCATCGTTACTCTTATCAGAGAAAAATAAATTTAGTAGCCCCATTACAAAAGCTTCGAATACAAGTAAATCTACCAGTACTTTTATCACTTGGCTGAAGTTCATTTGCTTACTGCCACAGGGATATATCCTCCACTGTATTCGATTACATCAACGCAACTAAAAGATTACCGTGCTATAGTGAACCGTAACCTTTTCAGATTTTTAGTTTATAATTTGTAGCGATGTCTGTCAAAAACAAGAAATGGTTTGAACGCTTGCTCAGCAAACATTTTTGTTTATTGGTAGTATTATCTCTAAAGTAATTTTTTAGATTGGCTTTAATTTTATTGTAGTTTCATTTAAGTATTCTGCCGGCCGGTTCTTGGCCCATTCCCTTCAGTGGGCGAGCGCCATTCATCTGAGGTCATCAGCATCAGCTCCAGGCCTGGATGGACGCGGCAGCTAGTAACCCGTCTACGCTCGCGTCTCGACTAAAAGCCTACACCACGGCATGGTCTCAAGCAGCACCGTCTCGTCTCTTGCACCTCGACATATGGTGACCGCAAACTAATGAACAAGCGACCGGCGCTGCACCACTGTCTCTGAGCTTCACTACCATGTTTCAGGCAAGTCAAGCCTTGCAGCCGCACTTGGACCCGCCTCTGCTACCGTTCCGGATCTGAAGGACCTGGTGGTCTGAAGTACGCGCCCTTTGACGAGCCATCGGCTGCCATTTTCCCGCGACTCTGCCTGCAAGGGCCGCCGTTCCAATCGGCCTAATCCAAGGTATGGTTTATTAGCTCGACGACGTTCTTGCGGTGAATGACATCACAAACCGGCTGCTTATGCGCGCCATTCCTCTCGATGCAATTTCGGTAGAGCTGCGTCGTATCGCTGGAACTTCAAATTCCAGCCCACGGCCTTCCGATGACCTCTGCTCCATAGTGCTGGCCTCCTACAGCTTTATCTACCGCCCGCTTCCGTTGACCCCCCCCCCGCCCGCTTCCCGCACCCGACTGGCATTCCGAAGAGGTTCTAGACGTTCGTGCAGCATTGGACCTGTCAGCCACGAGGAGCGTCTCTCGTCCCGTCACTAGCACAGCGATTGTCACGCCCGGTCACAGGCCCAACGAGGTTCTTCAAGATGTTCCTGCTCCTGACGAACAGTCCGTCACGAGGTGCGTTTTTTTGAAGTCCTCGGCCGATGATCCTTCATACACGCTCACCAGCCGTGCGTTTTCTCCAACCTCCACAGACCATGACTTCTCGGACATATTAGACTCCATGGCGGCTACGCTGCCGCACACCCTTGAATCTGCTGCGACTCAGGACATGGTCAAGCCTGTTACTCGGCCCCCGATTGCACAGGCTTCGCCGCCGACAGTGTCTGAGGGTGATTCCCTATCTACGTTAGTGCTCTGTGCGTCCGGCCAGCAGCCACTAGGATCTCTGTCACTTTACCCTGAAGGAAAAGCTCGTACCCCTCACCAGAAACGATCAAACGTGCGGAATGCTGCCACCATGACCAACGCACCAACGTACGACGCGCGCTCATCACCTAAAGCAGAGCACAACACTCACTTCGCGCCTGCCAGAGAGGCAGCCATCGGCCACGTCGACCTGTGCATGAGCCCTCGTGCGACGACTAGTGAAGGAGCTTCTACGACTCCCGGGACGCTGACAGACCCTCTTTCAAGACGCGCATTTGTTCTGTCCAATGACATGCCTCCTGCCATGTTTTCGATGGCGGACGTGAACCAGCAAGCGTATAACTGGAATGCAGGCACTCGCTTTTACACGTCTCAAGCCTCATCCAACTCGGCTCGACGGGCTGATCGATGACGTGCCCTCATTCGCATGGTCCTTCGAGCACGGCGTTTTCGTATCAGTCACCACGAGCACCACCGACCTGCTACCAACGTTAGTGGCCAAACTGTCGCTTCTACGGGCAGCTTTCATAGCCGCGCCCGCTCGCGCTACCTGGAGCACTGACGAACGCATCCACCAAGCTATCGTGGGACCGGCTTGACTATAAAATACGCCCCGGTGCCTTCTTCCTCGGCCACTACGTTTCTACTAGTGCCAACCACCACAAAAATATCCCGACCCTGTGTTCTGTCATGTTGACAACCTGGAATCTCAAACGAATACCTTACGGATTATTTTTCATGTACATAGTATCGTGTCCCTCTCTATCTTTTGTACTTATGTTTTCGATCGCGCAAAGCGCTATGGGGGAGGGGGAGCCTATGTAGCGACACGCTAGATTTGGCCAGCTGGCCTTGCCGAAAAAGAAGCGAGCCGTATGGCTTCGGTAGCGTGACCCATGAGGAACAGCTGAGCTCCTGGCCTGGCTGAACGTGACAGCTGGAAACCCGTCTACGCTCGCGTCCCGAATAAAAGCTTAGACCATGGCATGGTCTCAAACGCCGCCATCTCAGTTCTCGTTCCTCAACACTATACTCAAATATTTAAGTACGAAACATTGAGAAGAAAATAATTAAACGATGAAGAATTGAGGAAGATATTCTTTTAGACTGACTGATGAATTCCTCGATGGTGAAAAACACACCCCCATGACTGCACCCCGAAGTACAGGCGCTAGAAGAAAAAAAATGGTGCCGTATCTGCATGTTACACCGTAAATGTAGTCGAAAACGATAGTAATGCGCCTTGAGAGAGTGAAAAAAAGCGTTTATTTGATGTTCTGCGCTAAAAATAGGTGTATGGTACTCTGGAGGCGCTGCATTAGAGCTCCAAGAGCATACATAGGAGGCGAACGAGCGCATTAATGGTGGCGATTTGGGCTTTTTGGATGGTAGCATGATAATATATGGTAGCGCAGACAAAGAACACGGACAAGAGAAGGCACATTCAAGACAGCACAGTGCCTTCATGAGCGCTGTGTTGTTCTAAACGTGCATTCTCTTGTCCGTGTCTTTTCCCTGAGCGCATTAAGTTCCGTCACATGCGGGACATGAGCGCTATCTAGCAGTTGTCTTGGAAAATGAAGCGCGCGGCATGCGCGTCCGTCTCGGAGGTGAAAAGGTGTAGAACTCAAGGCGGCGGGTAGGTGCCCCCATCGTGTTGTCTTAGAAACGCGTTGGAAACAATTGCCTTTTCGTGCAAGCGTTGCGTGATCAGCGCAGCGTAATAAACGCTACGCTCCTTAGAATTACTTATGTATGCCTTTTTAGTGAAAGACTCACATACAGAATATTGAAGTGTTGTTATGGTGCCTCAGATATGAGCAACAAGTGCTTTTTAATTGACAACCGCACAAGTATGAACGCTCAATTATGAGCAATGTTGGTGGGCGCTGCGGGTTGGGTCAGCCATTTGGGATATAATATAGATATAGTATACCGGGCTTAACATGATTCCAGGCGTGCCGTGATGCCGGAATCAAATTGCACATGCACAAATATCTACGTTACTCGTACCGCTAACCATACGAGCAGTATTTTTCAGATTTAACATTACAGTTGTAGCTTATGTGTACGTAGTCTACGTAAACATGGCTGCGCTCTCGAACGCCCGCTTCGAAGTGATTTTGGCGTAGCTGTTGAAACATCCACGTTGTTCACAGCAAACGACTGTTTAAAGTGGCGTGGCTTCTCTTCATTTCTCTTCGACGACCGAGTATTACGAAAGAGTTGGCGTAGGTTTTGAGACAGCTTCCCATTTCGAGCGTGTATAACGATGTGAACAAATCGGCAACAAAATTTTTTTCGCGTTTGGTGCGTGGTTCATGCTTATTTGCTTTTATTAGTAGTAAAATAAACGCAACGATGCTTCGCGCCGTGGAGTAAGCGAACAATCTTGTTTTCTCTTTATTTTCACTGTCTTTACCCTATTAACCATCCGATAGGTGGCGCCCCCTTCCCAGCTGGGCACGTAAACCACTTAAACGCGAACCCGCTAAACTAAAAGACGCTATACACAACCAACGTTTGCTGCACGGCAATGCCATTACATTGACCTCCGCGATCACGTTAACCGTAAACTATAACTGTCAATTGTCTGGTGCCGTTTAGGTTACCGTTAAGGATAGATGGACACACAGACAGACAGAACAAAATTT